AGCAAATAATCTCTCCACCATTTCTTGGCGGAACCAGTCATCTAAAATGCAGCAAAATTGACCCCATTGGTCTTCACTATACCCATGTTCCGTAGCACCTCATGACAGCTGTCAAGATACTCCTGGGGATCCTCTGAAGGAGCACCACTGAAGTGAACTGGAAAGAGCTTGGTAAACCTATCCAATCTCTATAAAGCCTCAGAAGACATAGCTGACCCATTATCAGCCTGTGCCGCAACAACTGGCTGAACTACTCTGACTGGATGAGTTGCTGGAGTCTGATACTGGGGAGCCACCTGCTCCGAAGTGTGAGTAGTAGGAGTCTGTGCTCATCCTCCAGCCTGAGAGATGGTTGGTGCCATGGGGAATGCGCCACTCTGGGCCACACTCTCCATAAGTCCCACCAAACGGACCAAAGCATCATGAAGCACTAGGGTGGCAATGAACCCCTCTGGGACCTGAGCTGGTCCGACAGGCACAGCCTGGGCTGGAACCTCCTCATCAAACTCTACCTGAGGCTCCACCACGGGTGCTGCTGCTCGAGCTCTGGGCTGAGCTCTGCCCCTGCCTCGGCCTCTGGCACGACCTCGGCCTCGACCTCTGCCCCTCGTAAGAGCTACCAATAGAGGCTCTGGCTGCTGCTCAGCTGAAGATGCGGTGCACGTTCTCGCCATCTGCGAGAGAATAAGAGTAAAAGAGATTAATTTATGAGAACAAAATCACACGACAGAGAAGAATAAAAGTGAAATTTGTTCCTAAATTTCTTAGCCTCTGGGAGATAAGTACAGACGTCCCCGTACCGATCCCCCAGACTCTACTAAGCTCGCTCGTGAATTGTGAGACCTAGGCAACCTAGTGCTCTGATACCAACTTGTTACGACCCGAAATTCCCACCGTCGGGACCGTGATGGCGCCTAACATTTTACTTGCTAGGCAAGCCAACGTTAGAGAATCATCAAGCCAATTCTTATACATTTCAGTAAATAATAGCAACTAAGCTATAACGAGTTAAAATGAGTGCGAAAATTTATAACAGCCTCAATATATAAACTACTACCCGGATATGGAGTCACAACTCACGAGCTACTAAGATTTACTACAAACAGAGTCTGAAAAGGGCAAATACACTGTTTTGAAGTAAGGAAACAATAAATGATAAAAGTAGGAAGAGACTCCAGGGTCTGCGGACGCCAGCAGATCTACCTTGGGTCTCATGACAGCAAATCCAAGATGCTAAGCCTCACGATCAGCTAGGACCGGTACCAAAATCAGCACAAGAAATGCAGAGTGCAGTATCGGTATAATCGACCCCATGTACTGGTAAGTGTCGAGCCTAACCTCGACGAAGTAGTGACGGGGCTATGGCAAGGCACTCACATAATAAACATGTGCAGATAACAGTATATGTACAAGAAAATAATAATAATAACTAAATATGTACTATTGGGAGGGGGACATGCAAAAGGGGAATACGAGATAGAGAACTACAACAGAATGGTAACTTGAACAGCCAATATACTATGAACCAATAAGAACAAGTAAACACAGTAAAGGAAAAATATGCACGGCATCACTCTTCGTGCTTTTACTCTCAACCTCACCATAAAATCAATAGAAACGACACGGCATCACCCTTCGTGCATTAACACTCACAATATGGCACGGCATCACCCTTCGTACATTAACACTCACAATATGAAACGGCATCACCCTTCGTGCATTAACACTCACAATATGGCACGGCATCACCCTTCGTACATTAACACTCACAATATGAAACGGCATCACCCTTCGTGCATTAACACTCACAATATGGCACGGCATCACCCTTCGTACATTAACACTCACAATATGAAACGGCATCACCCTTCGTGCATTAACACTCACAATATGGCACGGCATCACCCTTCGTACATTAACACTCACAATATGAAACGGCATCACCCTTCGTGCATTAACACTCACAATATGGCACGGCATCACCCTTCGTACATTAACACTCACAATATGGCACGGCATCACCCTCTATGCATTAACACTCTCCCTTACCATAATGCAATGAACAAATAACAACATGGAGATAGAATAATAAGTATAAATCTTACTTCAACATTTGGTTCCACAATATCAACCTCAAATTCGGAATCAATACTCAATTATCACCAGAAGATCCATAAACATGATAAGAACGATCAATTTAACAATACTAGTCTAAACATGGACAACATGAACAAAGGAAGCTATAATTGCAAGAAACTAATCCCCGCCCGCATGTTTTAACCCGACTACAACGCATAAGTACTCGTCACCTCACATATACGTTGTTCTCCAACATTTAAACATGTAGCAAATAGACAAATAAGTATTATTCCCTCAAGTCAAGGTTAGACACAACACTTACCTCGCTCCAAAGGCCACTCAATGCTCAATTACCGCTTTTTCTCTAGAATCCACCTCCAAACCACTCGTATCTATTCACAAACAACTCAATAATATCAAATATTACTAAAGAAATCAATTACAATGCATAAATTTAGATTCCTCAAACTTTTCCCCAAAAAGTCAAAAATTGACCCCGGGCCCGCTTGGTCAAAACCAGAGGTTCGGACCAAAATCTATTCATGCATTCACCCTTGAGCCCGATTATATAATTAGTTTTGGAATCCGACCCCAAATTGAGGTCTAAATCCCTAATTTGCAAAAAAACTCCAATCCTTCTTAAATCCCTAGTTTTCTACCATGAAAGAACAAAGATTAGGGCTAGAAATTTAATGGGTGATGATAGAAATGGAAGAAAATGAGTTAAAGAGTACAAACCTATGAATTGGTGTTGAGTTTTCCCTTCAAAATCGCACCTAGGCCGAGCTCTAATGGAGAGTTTATGAAAAATGGGTAAAATCCCGTTTTTGAAATATTTTAAGGTATGGGCGTCAGGCCTTCTTCGCGTTCGCGAAGGGCCTGCCCCGTTCGCGATGTGCAGCAGCCCAAATGGCTTTTGCATTCGCGAGTTCCTCTTTGCGTTCGCGGAGGCTGTTCCTCCCTGGCTTCTGCGTTCGCGAGCCAGTGCTCGCGTTCGCGTAGAAGAATGACTGACCCCTCCCCCAGGTCCCTAAAGCTTCGCGTTCGCGTGGAGCTGGTCGCGTTCGCGAAGGGTAAGGCCCCATTGCTTTGCGTTCGCGACCCAGCTACCGCGTTCGCGATTAAGAAAATCACCCTGCCCCAGTTTACTCTTCGTGTTGGCGGGAGTACCTTCGCGAATGCGAAGAAGAACACACCAGATATAAGCTGAAGCACAAAAAACCAGATTTTCTAAGTTCAATTCACTCTATAGCCTATCCGAAACTCACCCGAGCCCTCGGGGCTCCAAACCAAACATGCACACAAGTCTCAAAACATCATACGAACTCGCTCGCGTGATCAAAACATCAAAATAACGCCTATAACTACAAATCGGACACCAAATCAAAGAAAATTTTCAAGAAGACTTTAAAACTTCTATTTTCACAACCGAACGTCCGAATCACGTCAAATCATCTCCGTTTCTCACTAAATTCGACAGACAAGTCATAAATATTATAGTGGACCTGTACCGGGCTCCAAAATCAAAACACGGACCCGATATCAACAAGATCAAACATCAGTCAATTCTTAAAATCATCAAACTTTCAAACTTTTAATTTTTCATCAAAAATCCATATCTCGAGCTAGGGACCTCGGAATTCGATTTCGGGCATACGCCTAGGTGCGAAATTACTATACGGACCTACCGGGACCATCAAAATTCCATATCTCGAGTTAGGGACCTCGAAATTCGATTTCGGGCATACGCCCAGGTCCGAAATTACTATACGGACCTACCGGGACCATCAAAATACGGATCCGGATCCGTTTACTTAAAACGTTGACCGAAGTCAACTCAAATTAATTTTTAAGCAAAAAAATCTTATTTTTATCAGTTTTTAACATAAAAGCTTTCCGGAAAGACGTCCGGACTGCGCACGCAAATCGAGAAAAGCTAAAACATGATTTTTAAGGCTTCAGATCACAGAATTAGGTTTCAAAACATGAGATGACCTATCGGGTCATCATAATTAATGTAGTTCGTAACAGAAAATTAGTTACGTATTGCAACTCATTAATTAAATATCTTATATTAAGTTTATTTTTTCCCTATATTTTATTAATGAATTCATATTGATTTTAGACATTGTCGTAAGATAAATATTTTTGTTCTTACTAGAAAGAGCTAGAGCTTACAAGGAGGAGGATGGTATTCTAACAGGTATACGATAAATAAAGATCCAACAAATATAAATGACCTTTTTACTTGTTCTAAATCTTCTATTTCAAATGTTTTGACAACAACAACAACAATTTAATATAATTTTACTAGTGGAGTCTGGGGGAGGGTAGTGTGTACGCAGACACTACAACATTATGCATTTACAGCTACAAAATATATTGTAGCTAAATATGAAAAATTCCGTGGCTAAACACTTTTGCCACAATATTTTTTTTCGTAGTATTCGTAGCAAGAAGTAGAGTAATTAAAAGCTAGCTACATACTTTACATGGTTCGTGGCTAAGGACTAATATTTATTGCTACGAATTTTTTTGGTATTGTAGCAATATTAACAGAACTTTTTTTGCCACAAAATATATACTTATAGCAAAAACTCTTATTCTTTTGCCACGACAAATAAACTTTGTAGCAGTCTTTATGTTGTAGCCACAAGGTGTTTTATCGTGGCAAACGAATTAATTTGTTTGCTACGAAAATTCATATATTGTGGCTATTTTTATACCTCAGTCTCGTGGCAATTGTTCTTTTATTTAGCTACGAGTTCAAAAATTTATAGCTATAATTGAAGTATTTGCCACACATTTTGGTATGTAGCTAAGAATTCATTCTTTTTGCCATAAAATATATAGAATTAAAGCTATCGTTTAATCATTTGCTACGGAAAGTGAAAAAATTAACCATCAATTATATATATGTGTAGCCCCAAATTCTAAATTTTTATTGCTATAATTGAAGAATTTGCCACAAATAATGGGTCACAAGAATTTTATCCTGCAGCTAAAATTCAAATATTTTAGATTCCAAAATAGATACATATAAGAATTGTTACAATGTAGCTAAGAATTAAAAAAAATTACATTCCACAATAGGTTTCAAGTTGCACATAATTGTAAATTTCAAAAAATGAACGATACGTAAGTCTTCTACAACACCATCTTGCTTGAGACACAAAGTAGCATCGTCTTCGCCTTTCTCTCTTCCCTAAGTAGCACCGACTACTGCACCTTAGCTTTAGTCTTAACTTGTCATTGCTGCTCTAACTTCACGAATCTGCCTGTCAACGAATAAAGTATTTTAACGCCTCAAAGCAAAAAATAACTGATCACATATGCAAGAGGTAGCCACTACATTGCTTCAAAAATTAATGAAGCTAAAGACATATTGCTTGCAAAGACTAAGAAGAATCTTAACCGAGTCTCATTGATGCTTTCTAAGTTACAAATCACTTTGTAATTGGAGGCGGATCATGCTGTCTGGCACTAGACTAAAATTTCAACTGAAATGGATTAATTCTTTTTGGCCAAAAGATGTATTTTAGTCGGAGAAGGCAACATTTGACAATTGTATGAGTTCATTGAATATTTAACAGGTAAAATTGAGTTTCAACTTCAATACAAAGATGCAAGTTCGATTAGTAAAAATATTAATAGAATATCAATAAGACAAGAAATATTTCATGATAATTCTTTTACAAGATTTTTTAACAGATAACAAAAGAGAAAAGTACAAAGCAACAAAAGAAGTTTAAAAAACCTGTAGACTTTTTAAACTTCTTAAAGGATCTTCATCCCAATTTTGTAATGTTGCTTTGTTGTTACAGTCCATGAACTATGGCTCCTCCCAAAATTACCACTTCAAAATCTTCAAATTTTCACTCACTATATATCAAAAATAGGGCAGATTATTAAATTGCTGAATAATTCGCAAAATTAAAACCAAAAATTCATGTCAAGTAGGTATGAGAAAATTCACAAACGTAAAATATAAAGATACGGGCTTACCTCTTCTGCTCAAGAATAAATAAGCTATGGGGTTCTCTCTCACTCTTCTTCTCTGTCGTTCTCGCATTTTTTAGTGTAACCATGGTTGAAGAAAGAATTGGGAAAGTGGGGAAGGGGATGTGGGGGTGGGATTGGCGGCTGAAGAGATCAGAATGTAGTTTAGGTTTTGGTGATTTTGCTTTGGGCCAATTGCAATTGCTGTTTGTCATTCTTTTACTTGTTGTTATATACTTATGTAATATAATTTTGCTTTCTTTTATTTTTTAATTAATACATCTTAATTCAGTAAATGCAAAGAAATGTAAGTGCTAACAGTTATAAGTAAGAACACTACCTACGAAAATACAAAAAGAATAAATATATAATTTATGTTAAGTAACATAGAAAAAATAAATTATTTGCATAAAATAAAGATATTCTAAATTAATTTTTTCTTTAAAGTTTCTTGCATACTATATGATATTATTAGTAGTTTGTTATATACTCCTATTTTTATTATATTAGATTCGTATTTTAGTGTTTAATTAGATTTATAAAAACAATTATGCTTATTCAAATTGAATACAATTAGTGATCAATCTAAATAATTACAAGCACAAAGTTACTGTATAATTACATATTTTTTTAAATTATATTAGAAAATCACAAGTACTACTTAGTTTGATATGAATTATTATATACTAATTAATTTTTTATAAACTCATTTATCAAGCAATATTAAATTCTCAATTTTTTGAAAGACAAGATCCTCTTTCTGTATACGAATTATATTAAATTCTTAATTCTTTGATTCAGTAATATAAATAATTTATTGTACAATGAAGTTAGTAAAGATTATAGTTGTTTAAATTTGATATAATTAGTCGTGCACATAATTGTGGGATATAATTCCATTTTTTTTAATTATAATTGAAACTTATATAGTCAGACTTATCTATAATAACATCCTTATACAATAACCACTCACTATAAAAGTCAAGTTTTTCTCATTATCGATTTTTATGTTATGTTATAATACGTATCCTCTATAACGATGTTTCACTATAGCAACAAAAAAATATCAGAACAAAATTTGACTGTACGTAAAACTTGTTTAATAATAATTATAATATAATCAATTTTTCTATGGACTTGGATGTCAACCATATTAAACTCTCAAATCTTCGTGTAACTATATATAGTAAAATTAAATGCTTATATCCCCTAAAAATATGAAAATCCTATGGTTACACTTCCTCTAAGGTACATCCATAACTAAATGTATATTAAAATATACTTATTAAAAAATTAAAATTTTAAATAAAATGTTCTAAGTATTATTTTTATAAAATTTAATAGAGAAGATAAATATTTTTGTTGAAAATTTTTATTCACGTGTGTGATTAAATATAAATTGCTTGATAAGATATGCAACTATTAGTGAAAACTTTCTTAAATTTTAAACATGTAAGTTATCTGTATTTTTAATTAATTATAAAATTCTTATTACGTATGAATAACTCAATTTTATTTTAGTTTGTTTATTTATTGAACCGCTGAAAAATTATCTTAAATTTGTTGTATGCTATTTTATTTGTGTAGGATTTTCATTATATAAGAGGCTTACATATTTTTAGAGAGAAAAAAAAAGAATTGTATCATTATAGTTAAAGACTTTTGGAAGATAAAACTATTTTGTCAAATATATAACAATTCTAGTTATATAATTAAGTATTTTGGGTTCATTTCATGTTTAAGAGTTAAGAAAGATGCATATTTCATAAAATATTTATTATTCTTTTTAATCAACTGCATGAATAAAGATTTTCAACAAAAATGTTAATCCTCTTTTTAAAATTTTAGAAATATAAGTACATGAATAATGCTATAATTGTAATTTATTATTTAATAGTTTTATTTTAATAAACTTAGTTATACATTTACCTCATAGAGGGTGTAAGTGTAAGCTTTTTATAATATAGGGGAAGTAAGTTTGATTTTAAAATACAACAAATGTATCTAAAAATTGATTGAAATTATAATGATTAAATCTAAAAATTAAAATGAATAATAAAGTTAGCGATAGAAGTTTTGTTTCTAGATCTTCTGCTATATGTTAGTACAAATACTAGCAATGAATTTCATTTTTCGTTGCAAACCCCTCGCTATTTTACTATACTTTTTTCAGTTTAATTTTTATTCTGTTTAAATTCTATTTTAAGATTGAAGATGCTTTTCATTTTAATCTTTCTTATTTAGAAGTTAATTAATTCTTCAAGTTATATACATTGTTGTTTTTCCAAATTTCTATATGAAATTATTTTTTCATAACTGCATATAATTTTTAGGCTAACTCTTGTCATGACTTTCATAGTCGAAGTAAAAGAATTCTTCCACAAATTTTTTTTGCAGCTAATTTATTATATTTAACATATTATTACAGCAATGATAACCTCAAATGTATGACAATATATATAGTTATGGTCAATTATGAAAGGTAATTGTCTACTATTCATTTTGTCATGACAAATAATTGGAACTATTAAGCTAACTATTTGTATCGTTTTATTTTTAACTTGAAGCAAAAATATCAATTAGCTACAAGATTGTGTTTTAACTAATTTAATGTGACTAAAATGTTATTATTCCCACACGAAGCTTCGAGTCGTTGCAAAAACTTATGAATAGCTATAAAATTTTACCACAAAAATAAATACGTGGCTATATCATTTATGACAAATAATTGTAGTTATTAAGCCGACTATTGCCACGATTTATTTAAAAATTGAAGCAAAATTGTGGCTATATCATATCAAAATATTTGTGGCTATATTATTTTGTCATGACACATAATCGTAGCTATTAAGTCAACTATTGTCACAATATTTTATAACTTGAAGCAAAATATTTATTTAACTACAACAATTTGTTTCAAAAACTTTATTGTGGCTAAAATTATGCTATTGCTACAGTAACTTTTAACCAGTGACAAAGACTTATGATTAGCTATGAAATTTTACTGTAACAATAAGTTTGTAGCTGTTTAGGTAGTTATTGCCACGAAAATTAGTAATTATAGCAAAAATAATGAATTAGCTTTGTAAATTTAGTTTTGCGGCTAAGAAATTTTAAGAATTTATAGATAGCCATGAAATTCTAATTTTTGTGGCTATTATTGAGTAATAGCTACGAAATTTAGATTTGTAGCTTAGATTTCGTAGCTACAGATATATTTTGTTGCAGTGAGACCTTACCCTTACCCTTGAGTAGAGAGGTTGTTTCCGATAGACCATCGGCTCCCTCCCTCCAAGGACTCTCCACCTTGCTCTTGGAGTGACTCGGACTCACAACCTCTTGGTTGGAAGTGGAGGGGTGCGCAACCCACTATTTCAATGTTTTGACTATGAACGTTAATATGTGAAAGTCATTCTTTAATATAGTTGAAACTTGCATGTAAAACAACCTTAGTCTACTTCATATTCACCATATATTCGTCTTCTACCGGATTATTACAGTCTTTTTGGTGGATGAACTAAAGATTGTGAAAAAGATTTAAAAGATTCAGAATATTAAAAAAAAGAATAGGGGCCAAGAGGTAAGAACTTATGAAAGTGATCTCTAGAGTTTTAGGCTTGTGAGTATTTCTATTTTTTTCACAATGTTACATTAAATGTTTTATTTCAGTTTGTAGAAATATCTTTTCTTCTAATTTTGATTGGATTTCGTATCTTCACTATTTTTAGAATAATATTAATGTAGTCCTTTCAGAATCAACTACAAAAATTCCATTATAATCATAAAAGACCTGATTCGAATGCATCCGGATACATGGTTTATATGCTTGAAAAGAGTAGATTAATCAAAATATAATTAATATATTCTACTTTTGCGATAGTGATTCATTGATAATCATTTGAAAATAATTACTAGAGTACTTTTTATTGATAGAAATAGTATAATTTTTACGAGAAAAAATAAAAAAAATTGTCTTTTGTTAGTTGTTAACCGAGTTTGTGTCTTCTAGAATAAACTTAAGAATATATAGCTTTTCTAACAAAAATTCAGAAAAAACTCCTATATCTTAAGGATATGTATTCAAAATTTAAAGTAATGTAATCATAAAACTGGGTAATATTCAAGTTGAATATATAGTGACCAAGCTGATTGAGGACTTCTTATGAGATTGTGTTTCTTACTATTATCACAGTTATCTAAATATGTTCAACAATCATTATTTTTAGGAGTTTATTTTTTTCATTTAACTTCTATCATATACCTCAAATAACTTTTTAATAAAATATTAATGTGATTTTTTAAAATTTTAATTTATTGAGACAGAGTACACACGCAAAGTGCATACCCAAAAACTAGTAAATAAAATAATATGGACACTAAGGTTTGGTTTCTCGGTTGGTTAATGCATTATTAGAATTCTGAAACGAAAATCATAAATCTCGTAAATCTTATGTTTGTTGAAACTGAGAAGGTTAATGATAATTTTTGAATTTGGAGTGATGAAATTATAACATTAGAACAAAGTATTAATTAAATATATTGACGGATAATTGAAAATTTTTATGGGGTATGTTTTTCTTTTATTGAGTTAGGCACACATGATCAATATTTATTATTTTCAGGAATATACACTTTTATTTTATAACTCAAATATAATATTTTAATATAATATTTATACGATTTCTTGAAATTTTTTTATTTATTGAGATAGTGTACACGCTGAAGGGGAATTATAAGATTAGTATCTTGAAATAAAGATGCACTCGATCAATATATCATTTGTCCATATTAAGGCACTTATCAAAAAGGAACTTAATTATGGGCCCTTCTTCTTCTTTTTTATCTTTTTTTTTTTGCAGAAAAGTTTTCTGTTTTTGGTAATTGCATTTGTTTGGTAAACATTTAAAAGTCTTTGATTTAAAAAAAAAAAAAACTTTGGTAAGTGTATTTGTTTGGTAAATATTTAATGTTGGCTGCTAATTGGTAAATGTTTAATTATGTTGGCTACTGATAGCTTATGTAGTCTAGGCTAGTGTTTTACTTTGGTTATTTTTGTAGGATCTGACTCTAGAGTCACATGAGTCAGTTGTGTATAACTGTATATTGATCATTTTGGTTAAATAAAATATTTTTAGTATGATAAAATTAAAAAATAAATGCTTTTGGCCTTTAAAAAAAATCTGGCAAGTCC